GTATATATACTCCTCCTAAACGATAATTCGGATTTTGATAAATCTTTCTGAAGTTTGTCAAAGAAATTTTTTAGTCTGTATGTGATTGTAGAAATATAGTACCTAATATTGTAGAAATAAATGGAAAAATATGCGGAAAACGACCCGTCATTGTATGAAATTGAAAATATTTGAGACATTGTTTGGCATTGAAAACAAATGAAAACTGTCATCCGCCAAAAATTTCAATTAACTTATGAGCCTAGACAATATTAGAATATGTATATTAAGTTCATGATTATGAATAAGATAATTGTAATGTCTACATTATTATTGCCAAAAAGCAGCTGAGATGTGCCAGAAATTAAAATAATATGAGATACAGTATATGTATGGCAGATTGAATGATACACATATGAACAGGATTTGAAAAATAAATTCACTTAAAATATGAAATTAAGTAATAATCAGGGTCAGTTCTTCTTTTTGAATCTGGCTCAACACAGATTCGGATATGAAATTTTCAATATAGTTTTTTTATAATTGGTGTTATGTTGCGGTGTTCATTGTTAATTAAAATTTCAATTTAAAAAATTGTCCTAATTTTGTGTTTTTTTCTTAGTAGGATTTGCTAAATGATAGCAGTGATCAAGTATCAAAAAGTTTAAATAAAAAAGTGTAGATGTTACGCCAGATTCGACGAATTGGCTGCTAATTATATCAAATTTGTTTCAATTTCGAAAAAACAATATATTATATATAATATATTTATATACATATATATATATATATATATTTATTTATTTATATATATATACAATACATATACATATATATATATATATAAAAAAAACAGCAAGTTGGTAGGAAATAAATAAAAGTTCGCTTAATAAGCAATTGTTAAACATGTTACAAACTCACAACAGATCCAAACGATTTGTTAAGATAATTTGATTATGAATCAAACCAAATATCTAATTGTTATTTAAATAATATATATAACAATATATCTAAGAACAATGGTTTTTATTCGTTTCCATTATTTGATTTTCTCATATTCTACATTACGGCATTATGAAGAATATCCAATTGAATTTATATCTGAGTTGATCATTGTTTGAAACGATATTTGTGTGCATTAACCTAAATCCTTTTTTTTCTGATAATTATATTGATTACTTTTCTGTGATAAATATTCTGCCATGTGTTTATAAAAAAATATAAAAAATCTTTTGGAATAGGACAAACAATAATTGTTTTAATAAAGAGACATAACACAATATGACACACAATAGCAAAATACCATAATAAAATTATGTTTTTAGCAATTTTTTAGTAAACTTTCATACGTTTCGATTTTGTCACTTCCCCAATTGAAATAACTACAAAACAGAATATTCAAATATTGTAATAAATATTTAAAATTTATAAATAATTAGTAAAAAATATGATACAATCTGACAAATCAATGTTAAAAAGTTGAAGATGAATAATTAAAAAATGTGCAAAACTAGCAACTAAATAAAGAATAATAAAAGAACAATATTAAATAAAATAGAGAAAACTTGTTAAATAACGTCTTTTTTAAATTTAATTTTTTTTTTTAATATTTCTTTTTTATTCTGTAATACAATCACTTTATATTAGTAGTCAAACAGTGTATATAAGTAGTAAAGATCTTTCTAATCATTAAAATTATTTTTCTTTTACTTTCCAACATTTTATATATAAATGAATATTTTTAAAGTGTAGAAAATTTCAACTGAGATTTTGTTTCCAAATTTGAATTTAACGTTATGTGCATCTAAAAAACTAAAAAAATAAATACAAGCAATAGATAGTTCATCATATTTTTTTAAAAAGTCCTTAAAATTTATTTTATGTATTAATCAATCAACTAATTATCATTGAGAGGCATCATGCCCTATCATATTTGTTCATGATATCAAAATAAACATTTTATGCATTAGTCAGTATTTAGTTTAGATACACGTGACGTTATTGTAATCCGAATAAAATGAACTTGAACAAATTATTTGATGATACAATCACTCATTTTTGTCATTTTTGTCATTTTATAGAGACCTCGTTTTTTACGATATATAATGGAATGTTATATATAAGTAAATTACAAGAATTTGTGGAATAAATTATCTGTAACAAAACAAGTTGTTTTGTGCATCGAATTTTCCATTATCTGATAAAAATGTAGCGCAAATATTTTTGAATAGAATTTGTACACAAAAATATTTGTTGGAATATTCACATATGCACATATATAAAAATATATGATTTATAAATATGGTAATATGAAATGAACGTCACGTTAGTTTTCCAGAATGAAAATTCAAATATAACCTAGGTCAATTTTTTATCGCCCATTTAACTTTTTTTGCCTTTGTTGAGATCACCAATATGCATGATCTCATTTTTTACAAATATGTATCTTTGTGAAATGTTTAAGATATAAAAAGACTACTATCAAATCTTTTACCGCTATATAGTTATAAATGAATTATCATTATTATTATTATTATTATTATTATTATTATTATCTCTATTATAGAGATACATTTGCAATGACGTCAGTGGCACTATGTCAAGTAGTTAGTAAAACATTGACTTGAAATGGAGCAAAGAATATTGATGGAGGTCAAACTGATAATATTGTAAATATTATATGCAGCTGTACTAAAACGCGCTTCTTGTACATAGAATGTTATCTAAATGCAAAAATTTACTGCTTTGATCAACTTTTCCTATTATTATAATAGTCAGTGACGCATTATCTTTGAAATAGTAATAAATTTTTCCAAAATTGAAGGTAAAATTTCATTGGAGGCTCCAATTTGAACAAAATAGTTTGCTATTGCACTTTGCATGTGCTTATCCGGAGGTTGGTGGTTAGAGCTATGGGATTTGAATGAAAGGTTCCTGGTTTGAGTAGCCTGATGTCAAGCAGTAGTGACAACGGTTTCGAAATACGGGGCAAAAAGTGCCAAAAATAGTATTCCAATTTTTGAGATAACGAAGCGTTCGAATTAAATAATCCAAAAAACATTTTTCTTGTATTGACGAAATGAACCACTGGTTAAATTTTTGTAAAGGCAGGTCTAGCGTCTCCGGAGGTCCAATAAAAAAAGTAAAAAATAATGCTATTTAGCGGTCTACTACGCGGCGCTTATGCGCTTTGATATTTCGACTCCAAATCAGCTATGCTAAAACAAAATGTTCAAATTTTCAAAAAAAATCAAAATACTAAAAAAATCAAAATATAAAAAAAATCAAATTTTTCAAAAAGTCATTTTTTTTTTAAATTTCAAAATTTCTCAAAAATCTAAATTTTTTAACGGGTTTAGAGACACAAATCGTTAATATTTCTATTATTAATAATTTAGTTTTTGAAGAGCAAGTTATGATAATCTCTATCCATTAGACCAAAACTGTGGACGATATATTAATAGTTCGACAAGAAACATCAAACCAATGTTTGATGGCTTTTGGTTATTCTACTTATAAAATATTAAAAGACAAATCTTATTATCCTAAATTGGTGTATCAGAAAAATGTCATTTTCATTGACATTACTTAAATAATTAGTGTTATAGAAGTGCGGTGAGGGGTAATATATTGCCAATTTTTTTTGTAAAAATTCTACATATCTTTTATGACTTAAGCCGTCAAATATGTCAAGGTTAAGAAATATAAATAATGCATTAATAATTCATTTTTGAAGAACAAAATTCCATGCTTTTGATAAAAATATTAAATTGCCTATATCTACGAGACCCACACTGTAGACGTTGTGTGGTATAATTGCTACTGGTTTGTTGGAGATCATGTTATTTAATTTGGCATGTTTTGATTCATGTCAATCAATCCTTAGTGCTTTGACATGTGACGATTTATTATCGTGCCAGAGAAGAGTTTTTACATCAATAACTGCCGCATTCAAGTGCGACGCACTCGGTTCCATCACAAACGATTTTCTCCGCCGTCTTCCAGTTTCCTGCGATGTCTCGAACAAAAAATATTGCTAATGTTTTATTATCTTTATGTATTGTTTTTATCTATAGATTTCTTTATATGATTGTTAGTCATAGTCGTTGCATTAGCAGCAGAATCAAAGTACAAGGACGAATAACACGCTTTGTCATGATGCGATTCCAAGACCTTGACCATCAATATAAATTATAACTATTATGTTTTATAATAATGTAATTGAATATTATTAATTTTTTGCGGGCATATTTTAAATGCTGTTTAAATGGTGTTATTACAAAACGTACTAAACGTGAACAAAATTTAAATAAGGCTCCTAATTCATAAAATTCCAACTTTATTTTTAAAAGTTCTGAAATATCTGTAATTCAATGATGAGTATCATCTTTAAGCCTTATGGACCGATTCTGCTGCATAACAAACCAATGTTATGGCAAGACTATGTTATTAAGAACTTTCCATACTAACCCGTTCTAAATATTGACCAAAGCCATGTGGTTGCTTTGCAGTCAGGCGTTTTACTCAGGTTGTCAGATAGAAAACCTAACCTAGAAACCGCACAAATGTCAGAAAAACTATCTTGGATAGCAGGGTCTTTCAGACCCAGCTTTATAACATACAAGTGACATTGCAGTTTATGTGTAAAACGCCTGAATGCACAGCAGACACATGACATTTTGCCAGTATTCAGTATAATTCAGTAGCATAATGTATGGAAGTTGGAGCGTAACATGGCCTTGCCATAATATGGGCCTGTTGTGCGACAGAATCGGCCCATTAGTTTTAAAATTGCATTTTTGTAATCGTCAAAGATATTTTTATACATATATATTTATTTTTACTAAATACATTATTATACAGACTTCGACTTAACATATCTTATACATACATTTACATACATAATACAAACGTATAAACATATTATACACATGTCGTTACCACATGCTTATAACACGTGTATACACAAATATTACTATTTTAACAATAACTAATTGGTAATAAAATTATTTCAGTTCCAACTACAGTTGTGATAGATTTAGATCTTTCTTATGTAAATATGATTGTGAAAACAACGTATCTGCTGGTTCATATGCAACCCTATTATCACTTCGTAGACCATAGTGCTGCCCAGCTTCTTTGATAACCTCGTACTGCGCGTCGGGCGCAAGGAATCCTCCTTCTGTTCGATCTGACCCAAGAAGCTCATTGCAATTTGCCTCCTGCGCTAGAAAATGTGACGACGAGTATTGTTGGCAGGCGAACTCGTTACTTGAGGAAGACTGGTATCCGTGCTGTGCGTATGGCCCCGCTTCTCCTAACTCAGTTGGTTGTCTCCGATTGAAATTGACATCTTCTACATTCATCTGTGGAAACGGCAGTCGACTTCTCGTGGAAGGTTTTCTTTTGCCAAACCGTTTCGCTAAGTAATCCTCATTATCTGTTGAACTATTTGCATTTCGTAGTGATTCATCGTTTGTCTGCACCATATGTCGTTTTTGTTCATGCTCCTCGTCGTAAAAACGATAATTATCTACAGAAAGGTTACAACAACTGCTTACATCTGCAAAATATACTTCTGATTCTGAGGGTTCCATCATATTATTTTTATGCTGTTTGTGTTGATTCTGATGATCCGATGTGCTTGGTTGATCCATGCTTGTACTTGGTCCTGGATTAGAAGGAGGCATCGTTGGTTTACATTTCAAATTTGAATTGGCCGATCCCATTTCTGTTCGTTTTTTTGTCTTTCTTGCTGGCAATGTATTTCTTCGCTGCTCGTTGCACTCGCTTGCCTGCGAGTCGGAAACTGTTGCCGATTCGTAGTGAGTATTCTCATAGTCGTCTTTGCCTCCAAACTTTGGTTGACGAAGACGTTCTTGTGTTGGAGCAATCGGCACCGGTGCTGTTCTTTGGGAAGTGTGCTGCATTTGTTCCATTGTCGGTTGTTGTTGATGATGTATGTGTGATTCAGGTAAGGCAGTGCAATGAACGTGTGGGAACATCATTCCGCGTCGCGCAGGACTGTTTGGATCCGAGTACGGCGGCGGTGGCCCCCAGGGCCCATATGGTGGTCCACCAACGACGCTGTAACCAGTATTGGGTGCATTTATCGCTTGTGATACTGCTCCGCCAGCTGACTCGTCGCTTTGAGAATTGCTGAAGCCATATTGACTATCTGGACTGCTTGGCGTTTGGCGATATCTATTAAAACAAGACAAATTTAAATTGCTTATTTTAAATATTTTTATTTAAAGTATTATATATTCATAATTCACAACTAAATTTCGGATTATACATATTGCTAAATTTTTTATTCATTCAAGTACGATAATAATAATGCATCTTGCTTTAGAAGCAACTGATTGAAATTTTCAGTTTAACGCAATATTTCCACGCAAATGATTTAATCTTGAAAATGAATAAACGTGTGTCAAATTGTAAATTATAGGTACATAATTATCCAAATCCAGAGATTTATCACGTGCGGTTTTTAATACCAGACAATAAAATACATTATTTGGAGATTAAAGATAACATGTTGTTTTTTATTCATTAAAATTGTAACAATAATATCGGAATAAAACTACTGCAAAATAAACAAGTACACACCGTTGATCAGTACGTGACCAGGGCATTCTTGGCCAACTCCATCCGCAGGCAGGACGCGTTCTGCCACTATTCTGCGGGGCGGTAGAACCAACTACCTCATCTCCTGGATTTGGCGAGTAGAAGTTACCGGATTGACCCGGCATCCAGAACCTGTGCCAAATAAACATTTTATGACGTACAGTTTTATTTAAAAATTCATCCCGTTTCTTACGGAAAGTCATGCACGGAAAATTCATAGTGCTGGCGGTTCGCCAACCGAAAATTCACATAGCCAAAGTGAAATACTACAAATTCTTGTAGCACGCGTGAGTAGTGAAATTATAGAGTGTTTATGGTTAGCGTATTCGTAAAATCATGCCAAGCATATGTTATCATATTAACAGCATCAAATTCAATCAAATGAAATGGAAAATATATGTCAGTTTGTTTTTCTTATATCATATGTTGTGCATTAAATTATCAATTACCTTATCAACGAACCGTATTCAAGGGCAATTTTTATCTTGTTTTATCTTTCTACTTATTTTATTTTGATGAATCATAGAAATATGCTAATATTTACATATGAATATGTAAATCTTTTCTCTACTTTACTGCGCATTTAATAAATGCTTGTGTTTTAAATTCAGAAATTCGATATGTGCTATACTTATTATTATCTCATTGAAAATGAAGAAACATGGGTAATGCCAATAGAATTGAAAATCTCAAGCAACCCGTCGCAATATTGTATTACTATGTTTAATTTAGAACAGATCTCAAATACTATTGATGTAAGTATCTACTATTGATGTTTCTCAATCTATATAAGAACTGCATTCCATAACAAAATCGCGCTGGTCAATGTGATTTTTTTTTCCGAAACTCCGATCGTACCTATTCTCAATCGCGTCCCAAGGATAAACGCCAAGCGCTGTAGGGTAGCGGCATTGCTCACAGTACCTGCAGTACTGGTGTACTGGAGTCCTGGCTGTTCGGCTCGCGTTGGACACGCCTGGTGCTTCCTGGATTCCGTTTTCGCCAACTCGTGGCGGCTGATATAGAGACCGGCAGCGGAGAGCTAATTGTTCCCAGTACATCTTCTTTCGTTCATGACTGGAAAAGGATACAAATGAAATGAAACTAATTGTAGAGGAAAGACATGAATAGCTATACAAAGGTTAATACTGCTTGCTATCAAATAGCAATATTTATAAACAATTTTCAAAAAAATACTCTAATACTATAGTATAACAAAATCAACTTATATTCTTCAGTATAATCATATACAAAGAATTCAATATAAAAAATACTGTGACAAACAACAATTATAATAGAACATTGGATATAAAGCTAGTTATAAAAAATAAATATACAAAATCTAAACTATAATTAAAAACAAAAAACAAAATATGACATGAACTTGACAAACAACAACCCTGTACTAAAAATAAATACTAAAAACTATAAAATACTTAATATTTTATAGTTTTTTATCGCTATTCTTATTTTATTTTTTTATATATACATATGTGTATTAGGGTGGTCATTAATATGGACATTTTCGAATTTCATGGCTCCCAAGGGCTCAAATGGTTCTAAATTGATAAAAAAAATCTCTGAAAGTTTTAACTCTTAATATTGCCTTTTAGATAGAGCGCAATTCAATCAAAGTTTTGTATGAAAATAGCATGAAAAAATTCTCAAAAATTTTGCAGAGCGTCGAATTTTCAATAAAAAATGACACAAATTTTCACTTTTAATTCATTTGTCGCTAAGTTATACCTAAAAATGTTTTTTTTTTAATTTTCAAAATTTTTTCCATGGTATTTCCATATGAAGCTAAGAGCTAAAACTTTCAGAGAATTGTTTTTTATCAATTTGAAACCATTTAAGCCCTTGGGAGCAAGGAAATTCGTAAATGTCCATATTAAGGACCACCTTAATGTGTATATACAGGGAGTTCCAAAACTCAACGTCAAGCCGAAACGGGGTGATAGTGTTGAATTTAATTATCATCAAAAAAATATAGTTTTTCCATGTAGTTTAAAAAATATGAGCTTTTAATTGCAACTAGAGCTTTGGTGAAACTGTGACCATTTTTCAGTTACTATGGTTATTTTTTATTATTTTTGTTCATTCAAACTTTGGACCCGTAATCTAAATATTTCTAGGACTTCAGTAAAAAACAATGACACAATTGCCCCAGGTTTTCTAGAATCATGAATTTATGAAAACTACGAATTTAAAATTTCCAAAAATCTACTTTGAGGGTCTACTTTGAGATGCATTCCTTCAAAAGAAAATTAGAAAAATGTGTGCTGGCAAGTTTCAACAAAAGTTGGCGCATTTGTAAAATAGTAAAATAATTGATAATTTTATTATTGAAAAAAAAATCGAGTATAAAAATAAAAACCTATTATAATATATTTATTATATAAAATTTGATATATAAAATTTATTTATTTTATATCTGTTAGAAACTTTTTTATTAATTTGCTAACTTGCTAAATGATGACACACATACAGTACCGAAACGCACATAATAGTTAAATAAATTGTTTTTTATCGACAATTTGGTTGCAAATAAATATTTAAATATTTATATACATATACACACACAAATATTAGTGTGTGTGTATGTGTGTGTGTTCCTATTCATTCATTCTATTTACATATTTTTCTGTTTAGTTAGGACAGTCATCATTGTTCCTTATCAAATATTTAAACTTCAATAACAATTCAATTTTTTTACTTTTTAATGAAAGCATTTCAATTTCGAAATACACGAATATTTCATGATAAGAATATAATTAATCCAATTGCTAGAAATGCAATTATTATTTATCATCTGACGCAGACAAAATTTTAACAAAAATGCAGAGTGCATTGCGTATTTAATTTAATTGTGTATTGGATAAAATGAGTCATGTTTTAATGAAAATTATTATCAATAGTTATAAATTATGAGATTAAAAGAAAGTTGTTTACAGTTGCAAATGTTACATTACCTTCCATATAATATATCAAGATATGTATAAATCAAAATTGACAGATGATGATTTATTTCGATTACTAATAATCGGAATGATAACAAACATCATTAATTAGTTATTACGTCAAGTAAATTACAAATGCATTTTTATGAGGTGATCGGGTTTCATCCTGATGTCTTGCTAATGATGTAAGCATAGTTATTCACGTTGATGGATTGCAAACCTTGCCTTGTATATTAGTTGACATGGGAAATTATTTGCGCGTTTTATAAATTAAGCTTCATAGGAATGCTTTCTCTAATACATATATTAGTGTTATACCCGCATACGTAAATGTACTCACATATATTCAAGAAAAAAAATTCAGAACATGAAAGTATTTTATAAGTATAAGTTTATTTTTATTTATACATGATATATTTTAGTTAGTATTAAAACTGCCATAAATTTTCAAATATTTATTTGTTTCTTTTTTTGTCTTAAATGAAGTTAAGGGTTCATTTGTTGTTATGTTTATCGATTGAAACACTTAACATAAGAAACACTAAGTAATTATAATACAGGGGACGTTCATTAATCACGTGATCGATTTTTTAGAGATTTTGGGACCCCCTCTCCTCCTTGGTGATACGTCGTAATATTTAAAACTAGCCCCCCTCGTCAAACATCACGTGTGTTTTTAGTTATGCAAACTTTTTTGAACGAATTTTTCGAATTCACGAAAAAATCGTATTTTTTTTTTTGAAAAAGTAGGTAAATTTAAATACACGTGATATTGTACTAGACCCCTTCCTCCCCCACGTGATATTTTGTGATTTTTTATCTAACCCCCTATTCCTAAAAGCCTCACGTGATTAATGGACGCCCCCGTACTATATAAAGTCGAAATTTTCAAAACGAAATTAGTTAATAACTGTAATAATAACTGAATGTTAGTAGTCTAATATTTAATGAAAAAACATGTCTTTATTGAAAATGCATACGTTTCGAGTTTCGATGCGACCCAACTTCATCTTCACATACACATACACACACTCACATAAATATATATATTTCGTAACCTTGATTTTGATGAGAAAATATATGTAAAAATCTTAGAAGTAATTTACCACTTAAAAAAATGGGAAGATTCAAGAGGGTCTTAATTTTTTCATACGTTTCGACCTTTCGACATATAATTTTATGTCATCACCAGCGGATATGGAGAGAACAAATTTAAAAATAAGCAATGTAAAATTCATGAATATAAATTGACACTAGTCTAGTCACTAATACAAAAACTTTCAGTAATCGTGAATTTTAGTAATTGTAATTGTAATGTTTTTCAGCCATTTTCTAAATGGATACACTTATTCGACTTATCCGAGACAAAGCCAATATAGGTATGTGATTTTTACAATGCTTATTCTCCAATTTGTTTGAACGTATGAAAAAATAAAAATTCTCTAAAATCTCTTCCTTTGTTATCAGGTATGTGCCTCCGAGATTTTTCACTTATACAGTAATTTGTAAAAGTTATAACAATGTTCAATAAATGTTTGTGAATACTGATCATTATTAAAACAAATTTTAGAGAAATGCGATTAAGTCACCTAAAAAATAAAAAATATATAAAAAAGACAAATATAAAAAAATTGATCTCGTGAGGGGGCGTCCATTAATCACGTGATCGACTTTTTAAGAATTTTTGAACCTTCCCTCCCCCTTGGTGATACGTGGTGATATTCAAAATTACTCCCCCCCTTTCCCATCAAACATCACGTGTATTTTTAGTTACGTGAAAAATTTATAAAATTTTTGATTTTTTAAAAATAGTTTGGATTTTTTCAAAAATTCAAGTAAAAAATAAATACACGTGATATCTTACTATACCTCTCCCTCCCCCACGTGATATTTCGTGATTTTTTGTCAAACCCCCCTCCCCCTAAAAACCTCACGTGATTAATGGACGCCCCCTGATAAATTGAAGAAATGTACTTAATAAACTTGCAATAATTTAATCAAATTACAAGTAACGTTGTCAATAGTACTAATTATATTAGCAATATAAATACCGTATATTTACCTGAGTAATTGATAAACCAGCATGCAGCAGAATACGCAAACCAGTATGCCGGCGACAGAAAGTCCGAATACTCCCCGCAAGCAAGAGTAAATGGCCCCGTGAACAACTCCACAGTCGGGGGTTGAATCGAATACAAAACGTACTCCTAGAATTGATTTTATAATTAACATATACGTTGCAATAATATGCACTGTAGATAGACAGTGTGAAGAAAATTGTTTTCAATTATTTCATTGACTAGTATACGAGGTGTGTTCAAAAAGTACCCGGAATTACTAATAATTAAATTTCGCGGGTCTGGAGTGTCTGATTGTCAAAATTTTTTTTTTATTGTGTTGGTATACATGCCCCTAAAGTATGATGAAATTTTCAGCTATATTCACTGTTTACTTTGTCTGTGGTAGTCGCTAAGGTTCGACGTGTTTTTCTGAGCTCGGCGATTTTTACAATGGAAGAATTGAAAAGTCAAAGAATTTGTATTAAATTTTGCGTAAAAAATGAAATAAAGTGTTGCAAAGTGCAAAAATTCACCAGATATGGCTCCGTGTGACTTTTTCCTATTCCCAAAGTTGAAGAGACCCATGAAAGGACGGCGGTTTTCCTCGATTGAAGAAAATCGCTGAGAGTGCTCAAGGACATATCAAAAAGTGAATATCAAGGGTGCTTCGAAAATTGGAAAAAACGCTGGCATAAGTGTATTATATCTGGGGGGGACTACTTTGAAGGGGACCACATTAATGTAGACGAATAAATAAATATTTTTTTGAAAAAACGAAAATTCCGGGTACTTTTTGAACAGACCTCGTAGACGTAGCATTTTTTTAACTTCTTGTACGGTGAGTTATAGTAATTGAAAAAGAATCGAAAATGAAAGTTTTTGCAAATATTTACGTTTTAAGGTCTTCTGAACATTTTGGCATGCCTTAAAAAAAATTGATGTATGTGTATGTAGTATGTATGTATGTTTATTTGGATACAAATTTTCGATCACGATTTCGAAAGCACGGATTAACCGATTTGAATGATTCAAAAAGCATTTGATTTCTATTGATAAGGAGACGTGCTGGTTAGTTCAAGGCTAGTTCAAGGATACGGGGCAAAAAGTGTAAAAATAGAAATTCAGTTTTTGAGGGAACGGGGCGCCTGATTTGAATGATTCGAAAAACATTTCACTTGTACTGACAAAATGAATAATTGTTTTGAATTTTTGGGTTTCAGAGCGATTTTAGAGATCCTATAAAAAAGTTAAACTAGTGGTGTATGGCGTCGTGCCTTAAGGAAAATTGCTGGGACTTTCCGTACCTTAATAAAATATTAGAGAAAAATTAAATGTTTTCAAATAGATTATTATAAATACTGTAACTTATATATGTTTACAGAAAAGTAAATAAACACATTTTAATCAATCGAATTTAAAATAAAGGTCATTGTCTAATATTTATGAGAATTATATAAACTGAATTGCAAAGTTAACATTATTTATTTACAGTATATACGTGAGCTTTAGAACTTCAGCTAGAATTAAAATTAAATATTTTTTTGAAATTAAAAAAAAATCTTTTCCGAAAAGCCATCGTTTTGTCAACACAAGTAGAAAGTATTTTGAATCATTCAAAACCTATGCTTAGTTCTCTGTAAACCTGCTATTTTGCACATTTAGCTCGGTATCTCCAAACGTTCCATCATTATGAATTGAATGTTTTTTAGATCATTCAAATCGGATGCTCTGACCTCTCAAAACCTCGATTTCTATTTTCTGCAATCTTTGCTCCGTAACTTCGAAACGGCTGGACCTGCCTTTGCCAAAAACTAACGAGCACATCTCCCTATCACTAGAATTGGATTTTTTTAAACATTTAAATCGGTTGATCTGTACGCCCAAAAAAATGTGGACAAAAAATTGTATCCACACATACATACACACACATCCTTTATTTCTGAGATATGCCAAAATGTTAGGAAACCTTCAAAACGTAAAGAAATGCAAAATGCAAAAGCTTTTAAAAATTACAGTACGGGAAGTTTCAGCAATTTGTTTCAAGACACAATGCCATGCATTACTAGTTCTAATTGTAAGTGAAAATAATTAATCAATTAATTAATTATGTGTAACATAAAACCCAAATTATTATGCAACTTAATATTATTAATAACCACAGAATTATCAAAATTAATTCTTGATAAAATTATCAAAATTTATTTTTATCTTGTCGAAATATTTTTATCACACAAACGATATGGTATTGTAATCACATATAAATTACTTATGTACTAAAAGTATTCGTACGTCACATGCTTGACCTACACGAATATTATCATTTTGTTGATTTATTATCCCTAATTATAACTCTCAACGACATATCGATGATGGATGATGCTTTCGTAACTTTCGTAAACTTATTTATTACATAATTATGTAACAGTCAATATTAGCGAATAATACATTAAAATTATTAAAAATTTAATTGAAATTGAAACACATTTCTCACATATATTTTTAATTAAATTCGAAATTCCAAAACCGTTAACCACAGAAATATTACATTGATCACTAAAAACCTCTACCATTTCTAGCCGCAAAAATCGTAGCATAACAAACATCAATCAAATTATTATATAATATCATCAATATCACGCCACCCAAATTGCACAATATTTTTTGTTATACTATTCTTTGCAAAAAAGCTTATCAATTTCATTTCTTTGCGCAAATCTTGACCGGCAACTGTTGTATTTACAAAACATTCCCGAATCTAAAATTGATATATAATATGACATTAGCAACTGTGACGTCTTGTAAATTCTGGATGAGATATCATCAAAAACGAAATCGTTTCGCAATTCAGAAATTCAATATATGAAAATCTATGCAGTGATATCAGATGATGATAATATATGAATGAAGTCATAAACAACGGTCTTCCAAAAAACAGACATCTGACAGACAGTTTTTTTTAATAAAACAACGAAATGCTATCATGAATTTCTTTCTTAATGTATAGAGACATTTTAAGACACTTTATACTATTTTCTATATATATTAATTTAATTTTTGTTGTTTGATTTTAAATTGCGATCAGAACTTATAGGTGGTATAAGCTGCTGCAATGATTTGACTTTACGTCGCAACCCAATAGTTGGCCTATCTGTACTTGATAAATTTATTATTAAAATTTTTGTAATACTGATGTTTTTTGATTGGTTTAGCAATATCCCGAAAAATTATCATCTTTTGGAAACATATTGGTATATAAATTTTCAGTTGAAAATCGATGTAATTAATGCTTGACTTGAAGGCTACCCGTGAGGCGGGTATCGAACCTGAAACTGATTGAAATTCCATAGCTCTAACCACTAATTCAACGGGCATTTAAATTAATCTAATTCAATCAATTATATAATAATAAATGTTCCCTACAATTATCAATTTTATGCTAAATTGCAGTTAATGTATTATAACCAGTCAATGTTATATTATATTCACTAAATTTACATTATACCAACTAAGAATATTATTAGTCAATAAATAATAAAATTTATTATCCAATTTTCTTATAAATTTTCAAGCTTTATATATATATATACATATATATTCATAATTTATGTAAGTGCTATCGGAGCACAATATGCATTTTCATGCATTTCACAATATTATCGAAGAAAATTTAATATTTGATAGAGAGTTACTATTTCCAAATTGAAAGATTATAGTATGATATATAGTAGTGAAAATATTGTATTAGTTGTATGAATTAATATCCGAAAAAAGGTTTAAAAAAAACATACCAAAGTAAAATACCAAAAAGCGATGATTTGTTGCGATTTTTGTATTGGGGACCTCTAAAGGGTGGACCCAATCTTTGGGTCAATGCATGGGACATCAGAATTTATTTTGAAGATATAGTTTCTTCGGCAGAGTATCTTATTAACTTCCCATAGGGCAAGTTATAGTAATCGCAAAAAAATCGAAATTGAAAATTTTTATATATCTTTACGTTTCAAAAGCTTCTGAACATTTTGGCATACCTTAGAAAAAATGGATGTATGTGTGTGTGCGGATACAAATTTTCGTGACGACTTACGGAATACGGATAAAGCGATTTAAATAATTCAAAAAACATTCGATTCGTATTGACAAGGAGACGTGCTGATTAGTTTTTGGCGAAGGCAGGTCTAGCCGTTCCGAAGATACAGGGCAAAAAGTGCCAAAAACGGTAACTCAGTTTCAGAATACGGATAAAGCGATTTGAATAATTCAGAAACATTTTACTTGTACTAACAAGATAAAAAACTGATCAAATTTTGATGAAGGCAGGTTTATCCATTATTATTTCGTCTCTATGCAGTTAAAGCAGTACGATTGCTATGAAAAAAAGTTCATACAGAAACAAACAAAAATACAGATTTGTGATTTTTCAAATCAGTATTTTGTGAAAATATTGTTGTAATTTCAAGTTAATGTTTATAATACATAGTGTAGTGCATTACCATATCCTAATACCATGGATTATTAAAATTTTCCAATTTAACACTAAGATCAACTAATTGTAAGTACTATTTACTATTTTATTTTTTCTTTTCACTCCAATTCAATTGTTTTAGTTTTTAATTTTATTTTTAGTTTCCACTGAATGAAGGCTAGGATTATAGCCGAAACGTATGGATTTAAAATAAATTTTTGAAAGAAATTCATGTTTTTTATTGATGTTATGCCCGATTATTAGACTTTGTTAATACATATGTCAATATCAAATTCAGAATCATACAAAATATATATATATATATATATATATATATATATATATATATATATATATATATATATATATATATATATATATATATATATATATGTGTGTGTGATTTCGCTGTATTTTATTTTGGGGTTGGGGATATTGTGAAGTTTATATTTGGGAACTTATTGTTATTAGTTTAGGCATCCAATTGTGATAGGTAGTCGGCGGATAATTTCTGATTCAGAGTTATCCCAATTACTGTATTGACCCTGGTGGGAATCACTATGATTGACTAGATATTAAGCGGACTGTAAATTATAAATATCCCGTCACCATAAGAAAGGTGAGTAAAACAATGATTTGGTTTACGATATATATGGGTCTTTACTTAACAACCTTTTTCTCAGGTTACTTTTGCTAGTCTCTCCGTTTACACCCTAATCCGATGCGTCCCATGTAAAATGGAAAAAAATCTGGTCAAATTCTGACCAGACCATACAAGTTACTTTTTTCGAAACTAAATATTATCTTTAAATTATTTTTTGCTGAAACGAAAGATAATAATCTTCCATGTGACATCGATTTCCAACTTACCTTCTTCAGCTTCCATGTGAGATTCGATCAGCACCGAATAGCAAGTGCACGTCCGCGTTTTCTGAGTGTACTCGCATTCCCTGAGCGTTTGGAGACGTCCCATGTGCAGGACAGTTGTGGTCACCGTGACCAGCACGCACGTCAGCCCGCAGACCATGCCGCATGCACCGCTTACTTTGATCTGCAAATTCAAACCGCATACTAATTAAACACAATATAATTAAACCCAAAACCGAAACTGAAAATCCAATATAATTGTTTCCTAAATTATTAATATATCATTTGTAAAAAGTTTCTAGTCCATTTATTGAATAACTTCGAAAGCTCTTTTACGATTGCCTGTATCGGTCTGGTAGTGATTCGAAGTAAAGTTGTAAGAAGTAGTATCGCTCTTAACACAATACTCACGTTGAAAAAACAAAACAAGCTATTGCTTTGTAGAAAATTCCATTCTTTACAAAGTTTATTTCCCGTAACTTCACAAATGTAATTGAATATTTGACTTGCCAGTTTAGATATTTATAATTAATTGAAGTACTCCACATTATTATAGAATTTATCGAAAATATGAGTTATCAATATCATCAATATATAGCATATATTGGAAATAATTTACATTCGATTTATTTTAATAAGTGAAAAAGAATATTTTGTTGTTTTGTTAACGCTCGAATATACTTTGTTTTATATAATAGTAATAATGCAGGCAAGAATACCAAAAATCTCTTTAGGTAGGTTTTCAATGACAATCTTGGTTTCTCGATTTTGCTTCATTTTTTCTTATTATTATAGGATTAAAAATCGTTTTAAAAATACTAAATTATCTGATTATTGTCAAAGATTTTAAAATTGACAGAGCTTAATGAAAAATGCATTTCTTCTAAAACTTGGCCCTGGAAGTGTTCTGGCAAAGTTCTTAAGCAAGGCTGTTAATCTTCTAAGCGAATTTTGTACTTTTTTTAGTGATCTTACAAAAAAAAACGATCTAGATCTGCATAGATAAAAAAATGTTGTTATTTGTTAAAAATTAAAACTTTTATTGTATATAAATTATACGAGTGCAGAGACAGATCGCAATATATAGAGTAATAAAACAAAATTCTTGCTGAGCAATTGCTGGTATTTCTCATATCGTAACTTAAAAATTTTAAAAGCTCAAAAATAAATTTGATTTTTTTTGAGATTTTACAATTCATTTGAACATGTTCAAAAATTTTGAAAACATTTGAACATTTTTAATATTGAACAAATTTAAAAAATCGGACGCTCCGTTCTCTCACAAACTGAATTGCCATTTTCTGCATTGTTTACTCCGTATCTTCGAAACGGCTGCACCAACTTTTGCCAAATCAGCTCATCTCCTTATCAATAGGAAGCAAATGCTTTGATATATGAATAATTCAAATCGGCTGAGCGGTGCTTCCGAAAACGTCGACGAAATGTTGTACCCACACACACATACATACACAAACATTCATTTTTCTAAGGTATTTCAAAATGTTCAGAAACGTCTGAAACGTAAAGATATGTAAAAGTTTTCATTTTCGATTTTTGGACTATAACTTACTCTGCGGGAAGTTAAAAAAACGTTTTTATGTTTGTTTTTAGATTTCAAGCATAGGTAAAATTTCTACTATACCTAGAAATTATGAGTGCATAATAAATAGAAAATAGGTAAATTGTCTTCAAATTCGTAACTCAAATTATTTTAGAAAATATATTTTTTAGTATCAGAATTTTTGGTATACAACTTTTGATATTTTTACACATTTTTTGAAATATGTGTGATGTTTTTTAATATACGTTGTAAAATGTAATACATTTTTTAATTAAAAATGTTTTTAAATTATCGAACTTTGTATGTTTTTTATTATATCACAATGAATTCTCAACTCTGCAAACTCGCGATGACGCTGCACATAGCAGCAGAAGTGCAATTACTTTAAATGTCTCCGACTAGTAATGGTTCACAACAAATGACATCATTGGTCGTTATGTCTCTACAGAAACTATTTTCTTTAATACGGTGTAATTTACATATTCATTCTTTTCACAATATAAATAAATACAAATAAATGCATTGCGTCAGAGGAGAAGAAAGTAGTCAAGTACGAAGTGAGGTTGTAGGTGGAATAATGAATAATTTCCAAAGGCTTATAGATAATTGAGTGGGTAAACATTTTAATTGCCTTAGTTCAATATTTGTTTCATTTTTTTATAATTTAATATGCTTGTAGATAATTGCTAATGCAAGAGATGTTTCTCTACTATATATTACTCTTACTTATTCTAGATACCATTAGTGTTTTTGCAAAATTATGGGTGTTATTGTTTGCAAATTTATTTGCATTTATGTCAGAGAAAAGTACTTAGTCAAATATGAAATGTTGTTATAGATGCAATAATTAATAATTTGTAAATATGCTTATATATACTATAGATAGGTGATAGGATGATTTATCAGATTGGCAACTAAGTAAGTAAGGATTTTTGTAAGAAAATTAATGACATTTTTTTCATGAAACTAAATAAATATATTCTGTATTACATGGTCCATTTTGATCAATAATTATATATGGTTGTTACTGTTAAGTCTTGAAATAAAACAGATATCACCTGTCCTATTTTAAACATCTGTATTAAGTATACCAACCATAATTAATTACAATCGATATTTTGTATTTCATATTTAATTACAATCCGAAGCTCTGCAGTTCAAATAAACAATCTACAAAGCAAGATTCATTTGCATTGTGAGTCAAGTTTTCTAATAAGCAGAAATATATGATTAAATAAGTTTAAAGATAATTCATAGCCATTCAGCATTTTGCTACGCCAAGATTATTGCATTAAAGTTTTATAGTAGAAGTCATTTTGTAGGATTACCGTGACTGTGAGATCATTATCGTGATTAAATAATACGAAGAGCTTAGATTTTGCCGCTTCAAGTCGGATCGGTCAGAAAGAATGGCATCGGGATTCTTAAGAACCTAAGAACGACCATTTACTTCAATGTAGTTAAAAATGCAATCAACTATTTTTAGACAATGTCCAAGATTTTATTTAACGAATCTACAATGTACGATAGTACGTCCCTTGTATAAATAGAACAAATAATAGTTGAGGACAGAAAATCTTATTACAGCATATTGAGCTCTACGATCATTAAAATATGCACTGCGCTAATGTTCTCATACATATTCATATCTTTTTAAAAATTCAATTACGCTTCATATCGGCAAAAGACCTAGACACTACGTACTTTGTATAAAATTTTATTAGCATTTTAATACTTACTAAATAACTATAACGATTTCTTCTTCTCGCCAAACTCATTACGCACACTCCTGTTAGTATGAGCTGAAAATATAAAATAAAATATCAATAATGAGCATGCTAGTTTTATATAACATTTTTTACATTAAACTTGCAGATATAACAATATTTCACAATTGTACTGACATTAAATTGTCACAAAAAAAAGTGTGCAATATAGGAAAAAGGGCTTAAAGGTGAAGAGGTTCACCAGCGATACCTCAAAAACAAATAAAGTTAAGAATTTTTTAACAACTATATGAAATTATTTCATATATCAGCAAAATTACTGAATGTCTTCCTTTTTGTAAAGACAGATTGTAATTCAAAAAGAGAAATAAAAAAGAAAAAAAAATTGAAATTAGAGAGAAAAAATGTAAAACCAAAGATTACTTTAATTTTTACGGTGTTGCTATCGAGAGATAAATGGCAATATTTGAAAAGCCATAACAAAAGTATTTTCTTTCATTGTTAGTTTTTGTGGTTGTGAGCACTGTTGTTTAGTTTACGAGGCCTTAATATAATTTTTAGGTATACGTTGCCTAAATGTTTTATAACATGTATTATTGTTTTTAAATTAGATTCAATAGATTTTTATATATAACTTTTATAAAAGCTCACATGTGGGTGGGGTAAAAGGGATCAACTTAACCCTTTACCCTGACAAATGTGTGAACAATAAAAAATAGTAAATAAAAAAGTAAATTAGGTTAATAAAAGCTATTTTACAAAAGATAAAATGATTTAATAGTTATTCCAACTCTGTTAACGAATGTTTTTGAAGAAATGCCGGATTAAGGTTATTTACTGTGTAATCTTTGTAAAAAAAGTGCCCTTAAAATTTTTTTCACATTGGTTAAATATTTTAGCTAAAATAAAACATTATATCTATTTGTCCGATAGCTGTTCCTTCTTACCCAGCCTACGAGGTAAAAAGCGACAGATGAAAAATTTAGAAAAAAGTAAGTAAAAAACATATTTCTATAATTAACTGGAAATTTTACTGAACATTCGGTTTGAACAGTATAGTTACTAAAGTCAAATTGGACCTTGGCCCTGATAATAAAAAAAAAATATTTTGAGATATACAATTTTTTAATTATTTCTAATTAATAATAAAATCAGAAGAGGAGTTAAAGAGTAGCCTATATTTTTAAATAAAAGAAGTACGTAAGTAAGTAAGTTTAATTAAATTAGTTCGTGGAATAATGTAGCATTTTGATACATTTTAAGAAATCATTAGTAGTAAAACCAATCCTTATTATTTTTCTCTTTAACTACTTTCATTATAATATATTTCAATCTCTTTAACTACTCTCATTATTATATATTATATTTCTTATATTTAATTGTTCTTATTTCGTTTTCTGTATGCGTCCAAAAGCTATTATATTTTCTCTTAAATTATTGGAAGTAAATCGCACACTCTTTTGTATGTATTAACTGGTGCCAAGACGCAAACCCTAAGTCAATAATCAGATTGTTATTTTTATCCAAAAGTTTCATCGATATGATTATTATCAATATGCAAAAATAAACTCTATAAAAAACTCTAAATTTTTACCTACAATCTTGAATTATTATCACTATCGCCAAGCGCGAAATTTATTCCAGTATGATATTTACGTATAATATTCAAATATTTTCAGTCTCTAACGAAATTTATTTAATCCGGTATACAAATATGATGAATAATGTTTAATGCATGTTTCATATTTAACTTCGAGTAATTTAACTGAAACTGGATACCGCGCACCACAAAATCGTTAAAGTATCTCTATGCAGTAGTTAAACTGAATTCTGCATATTAATCCGCTTTTAAAAGTTCTCTATCTACTATTTATCCTATTCACACCCATTACGCAAATGTGAAAAAACAACTTTATCAACTAAAATACAAGCGCAGTGTATAAAAAACCAGTGACCTATATTTGTTCACTGTTATCGTTTAGTACAGAATAATGTTATTATGCAATTTATTGTTTGTGACATTGAAAATTATTAAGTTTATCATGTTATGTAATCTTTAGTTTTATAAGAATGTAATTAAAATTATATAATGACTTTGTCATTTGTAGAAGGCTTTGGGCATTTAATGTATGGGCTCGTTTAAACTTTGTTACAAAATCTATTTTGGTACCAGTGAATTTGTTAATATTTTTATATATTCAATTAATGGGAAATTTATATAACATTAACGACAATCAATTAGGTAGTTTCTCACTTTTTCTAAAATAATTGTTTTTAAATGAAGGTTTTTCGTTATTTTTTAATTTTGACAATACTTTTAATTCCCTTTTCACTTACTTAAAGTATAAAACTTCTGTTGAACGTATTACTGATATTGTTTACAAAGTAGATAGTAATAATTGTAATTGTTGTTACATTGGAGAAAGTTCCAAATATATTTACAAGAGAATGAATCAACATATTTGTAATTCAAAAAATCCAAATCAATATAAGACTATGTTTTCGGAACATGTCATTAGTTTAAAAATCCTATTATTTTACATAAGGAAAAGAATGGCGACCTCACAATCAGAAAATTTGCTGAATCTGTATTTATCTTATATATATAATATATATTATATATATGTGTGTGTATATATATATATATATATATATATATATATATATGTGTAGGGTATGCCAAATGGCGGGGCACAAAGGTTCAATTTGACTTTGAGCAATTATATTGTAAAAACCAAAATGGTCGTTTATCTCCTGAAAGCGACATGGTAAGAATTAAGATAATGGCTTGTTATACATTTTTTGTCTTCTACTTTAAAATAGCATCCTTAATATTTTTCTTGGTTTTGAGACCTTTAAACACCACTCTATTGTACTCTATAAATTAATGGTAAATGATTTTGTAAGCTACAAATAATATTATATTTAATGAAAAAAATATTTTATGAATTGAACGTATATCGTAGCGTTTTAGCATGTTTTATAAGAAAGATTCAATCAGTAGGTGATATTTTACAACAATTATTGCTATATTGAAAAAAGTAGTTATCAAGTGCGCCATAAATAATTATGTTAGCGTTAGTAGTAAGTAGACTTCATAATTTACAATAAAGTGTATAGTCTGCATTTTGCTTCCGACCCAAATGGTGAAATCTTAAACCGTGTTACTACAATATGATTAACTTATAAGCAGAAAAAAAACGGAAATGAATAAGTATGACCGAAATGCACAGATGCTAAAAAATGAAAATATCTTTACTAATTCAATTATTAATCATCTGAAATTTATTTAATCATCAATCCAGTTATGTCTGATTGTGAGATATGGCTTCTGCAATAATTTTTCACGTCAAAAGCATGCATCTCGCGTCGACTGAAAGCTGTGACAATTTGCACAGAATGTTATATGTTCTATAAGTTGGAGAAGATAACGCGATTCACATTTCGGTTTAAAAATTCATTCCATCTCCGGTCGTGCGCTTGGCAGCTTTCGCGAGTTCAAAGGAATTCTTCTTTTGGACTCACCAGTGTGGCAGGTACGAAGGTGGGGACTGTTTCGAAATAACCAACAGTAGACGTGTAAGACCTCAAAAGGAAATAAACGCCGAGGAAGAGCACTCCTAAGATAGCTGACATGCCGCCGCAGAGAAGGCAACACATGACATATTTCCGAACGCCATTATTGTTACCGGAGTGGAGTCCTGGAACGAAGAGATAACAGATATTATTATTACATATAACCAAGGATAACAAAATTCAGATCGAAATTACAGCAAAGATTGCATCAACCGAATTGGTTAACATAGTCATTGCGGAAAATTCTGCTCCGATATTAAATTTATTTTATATTATTTTATCTAATACGCTATATTGGACCATGCACTTGCAAAGGAATTTCAGACCAATAAAACCACCAGCTTTTCATACATAGAAAAGCTACCGATATTACATGGTCACACAATACAATAAAGCGTTTATGAAATTTTATTCGCTACACATATTAGATATTCTCATATTTTTCAGTTTATTATTTATTTATATTTTCAATTTCAGTAGGGTAAGTTATAGTAAAGGGCCAAAAATCAAAAATAAAATTTTTTGCATATCTTCACATTCACGTTTCAGAGGTTTCTGAACATTTTGGCATACCTTAGAAAAAAATGGATGTGTGTGTATGCGTGTGTGTATGTAGTATGTATGTATGTATTTTATTAATTTTTCCTCGATTTTCGGGAGCACCGGTCAACCGATTTGAATTATTTAAAAACCATTCGATTCCTAATGATAAGGAGACGTGCTGATTAGTTTTTGGCCAAGATATAAAGCAAAGAGTGCAGAAAATAGAAATCGAGTACGGAGCAGTGATGCCAGTACACAAAATTTAAATTTATATGGATAATGAGCTAAATTATTGCAAAAAAGAATTTAATGTTTTATGTTTACAAAATAATAGTCATCAGGTTTTGTCGCACACGTATATGCTTCCTCCAATAGTTCTTGCTCCATAAAAAAAAAGATTAAAGATTTCCAATTATGCATTCATCTCGATCATCAAGATTTTTTTATTGATATTATAAATAGCAATTAAAACAATACAATTTTATAAGCTATATTAATAAGATTAAAATAAAGTTAATATTATTTTCAAGTATAGAAATAACCTGAAGTGAGTGAATTTCTTATTAAGGCTAAGGAAGGTACATTGGCCAACATTTTGAGAGTCTTCTTATAGTTGGTACATTGAGAACTGGTCTTAGCAACACATAGATAATCCTCAATTTTTTATATATAAGTTTTACTTCTGTCTTCAATTACTTCACGAATTGTAAAAATTTCTTGAAATTTTGTTTGTATTTTCTGCATATTAACAATATTGGACTTGGTCGGTTGATTCTCAATTATCGACATACAAATTCTACTTCTGTCTTTAATTAGGTTCTCTACCTTAAGTCCATAAGGAATGTGAAATTGGAAACGTACCAAGATGCGTCTGTAATATTTCTTAAAATCTTTGATTGTATTTTCTGCATAAATAATATTGGACTTACTTGCACATCCCCTTAACTCAAAAGTTCACACAGGTTTCAGAAAGGATTTATATATCAAAAGTTTGTTTTCTAATATGAGGTTTGAGATTTTTCCTATAAGCCACTGCAATTCTCGCATTTTCAGTTTTATGTGTTGAAAACTTAACTTGATATGTACTCTTCATGTTGTCTGCCCAGATAAATACTTTTACGTCATTTTTTTGTGGTATTTGTCATTCAAATAAACAGATTGGCAATTATTAACTTCACGTGCGGTAAGTTATAGTAATCGCAAAAAAATAAAAATGAAATTTTTCGCTATACGTTTAAAAGGCTTCTGGACACTTTGGCACAACCCAGAAAAAATGGATGTATCTGTGTGTATGTTCAGATACAATTTTTCGTTCACGATTTTGGGAGCTCGGATTAACCGATTAGAATATTTCAGAGAGCATTGGATCGTATTGACGGGGAGACGTCAATACTTGATAGAGTCGTCAGGCTTCTTCTTCCTTTATCGAGATAGTTTATAATCAATTATGAAGTTACATTAATTTTAGTTATCATGGTTTGTTTTGGCAAAACTTCTATTTGCCATCCCTGCCATATAATATATATAATACTCTGTCCCATCCGAGTGCTTTGGTTTCGGGCTCCGCGTACCCGTAACCCAGATATTATCCAGTGTTTTGTTATCATCATATATTCTTTGTTCACTTGCTGTTCCAATAATGGTTAATACAGATAAATATATTCAAGCAAATACGTTACTTTCAATATGCAATAAGTTATTGTTACTGATAATGTAATATAATCATATAACGAAATATGCTAATTAAAATTTGGACGTAAAAGATTCAAAGTTCAGTGTCAATTGTTGTTTGGTGACAGCTATCAGAACTACGTTTTCTATGAGCTGCGTTTGCTATTGTACAATCTAACCTAGATTTCATATGTAAACTGGTTGACCACTGAGTTGCCATCTCAATAAAACTACTAGGTTAGATTGTACAATATAGGATAGAGCGGAACTTAAATAGACTAGTCTACATATGAAAACAAGTGTTTGACCACTGAGTTGCGATCTCGATAAAAATACTAGGTTAGATTGTACAATATAGGATAGAGCAGAACTTAAAGGCTCGCGGGTAGAAAGGTCCATCATTATTATCTCAAGAACAAGTATAGTGATAGTATTTTTAGTTTTAGTGATACTATTTTAAAGTGGAAAGCAAAAGACGTGTAACATGCCATCACCTTCATTCTGACGACGTCGATATCAGGAGATAAAGAAAAATGTAACAACATTTATATCAAAAACACATTTTTTTTTGTTACAATCGCTTCCATCAAGAAAATTCTTAAATATTTATTTAGCTTGGTCGAGATTCTAAATTAGCTACGGCATTTTAATATGAAAAGTAAACCAATTTATAAAAGTCAATTCTAATATAATTTGTTGAAAAAATAGATGTCATAATGAATTCATAATATTCTAAACGCTATATTTACAGAGTAAACAAAAAGTGATTATAAAGGAGAAATGAGGAAAACGTAAGAGCATGAACATACCCACTTATGAATGCAGACTTATATAAGGGAGTAAAAGAGTACGCATACGGAATTATATATTTATTATAATGTATATTATAATATTTATTATAATGTATATTTTATAATTAACCTTAGCTAATATATGTATATTCTTTATTCGTCACTAAATGCTCGTCGTGATGTGATGTTTGGAAAAACTTGGACTATTACCACCCGGTTCCAGATTCCTGGGAGTCCTGAAGTCGACCAGCTCGATAGAAAAATATGTTATGAAAAAATTGAATTTTTTTTTTAAAATAATTTAAATCGGATGCTTAGTTTTTTTAAAACTGCTTTTTTGTACATTTAGCTCCATAACATCGAAACGGTTAGGCCTCCCTTTGTCAAAAACTAATCACCACCTCTTGCCATCATTACAAATTGAATGTTTTTTAGATCATTTAAATCGTATGCTTTGTTCTCTCAAAAACTCTATTTCTATTTTTTGCACTCTTTGCTCCGAATTCCCAAAACGGCTGCCAAAAACTAATCAGCACATCTCCCTCTCAATAGGAATCGAATGTTTTTTTAAACTATTCAAATCGGTTGATTCTTGCACCGAAAACGTGGAGAAAAAATTTTGTATCCATACATACACACACACATCCATTTTTTCTAATGTATGCCAAAATGTTCAGAAACCTTTATAACGTGAAGATATACAAAAATTTTCAATTTTGATTTTTGGACGATTACAATAACTTACCTCACGGAAGTTTGAAATATTGTTTTCTATCAATGAGGTTAAAATATGTGGTGAAAATTTTCGAAGAAACTTCATCAAAGAAAAGCTAATCTGGTGGGGCGCATGGGATCGTGCCTCAAGGCAAATTGCTGGAACTTCCCGTACCAAAAATTCTTTTTTTTTTAAAGATTAACATTTTTGAAAAAAAAATTACTCTGAAAAATTAGATTTTTGAGAAACTATAAATTTTTGACAAAAATTTACTTTTTTTTAAAAAAAAGACTTTTTGAAGAAAAGTGTATTTTGAAATATTTTGGAAATTCTAAACTTTTTTTCAAAGCAATCGTACTGCTTTAACTGCATAGAGACGAAATATCGAAGCGCGTAAGCGCCGCGCCGCCGTCTAAGGGATAAGCATTGGTACGGAACCCATAGGAATGTAAACAAAATTTATACTTATTGTGAAAATCTCTATAAAATATTTGATAATTTGATGTGCATATGTCTAATGATCATTTTTGACCGCCAGATGGCATTTTTTTTTACTTTTTTTACTAGATCTCCGAAACCGCTAGACTTGCCTTCATGAAAATTTGATCAGTTCTTCATACAAGTAAAATGTTTTTTGAATTATTCAAATCGGATGCTCCGTTCTCTTAAAAACTGAGTTACCGTTTTTGTCACTTTTTGCCCCATATCTTTGGAACGGCTAGACCTGCCTTCGCCAAAAACTAATCAGCACGTCTCCTTATCAATACGAATCGAATGTTTTTTGAATTATTCAAATCACTTCATCCGTGTTCACGAAATCGTCGACGAAAATTTGTATCTGAACTCACTTACACACACGCACACACATACACATACACAGACATACATACACACACACATACATCCATTATTTCTAAGGTATGCCAAAATATTCAGAAACCTCTGAAACGTAAAGATATACAAAAATTTTCATTTTCGATTTTTTTGCGATTACTATAACTTACCCTACGGGAAGTTAAAAAAGTTTAAAAACCGTTATTATATACATATATATTATAACACATTGCGTGTGTGGGTGTGCAAACTAAACGTAACAAATTGCATTGTTTTTTACTATCCATATATTTCATTTATCTATTTTATATTGAAAGAACTTCCGTGTTTTTATTTTGAAACACTATCAGTGAGTGTTTCAATTCAATTAAAACCGTTTTCATTAACTTTAGCGACTGTAGGATAAATGAAATAGTGACCATTAATTTTGCACATTTTATATACTGCTGCAATAGTATCGTCGAAGTAAATAAAATACTTCTGAACATATTGAATAATTCAATAAGTCGCAATACGATGGCGAGCGTGGAACTTTTTCGGCACGTATCGAATGCGGCCAACTGTCACCAAC